CAACAACACAACTAATATCCCCATCCCCCACGTCTCGTGCTCACATGGTTGTACTGTAGAAGGCAGGCTGCCAGATATGTGTAAGCTTCTAGGAAAGGAGGAAAGGGAAAGCCAGAGGAGGAGGCAGAGGGAGGGAAAAGCTTGATCTGGATTTAATGATATTAAACATGGTTTTTATGCTCAATAACAGGCCTGTATTATGATTGATCCAAGACAGTCAACACTTTATCTAGACACAAATGGAATCGTCTGTCATTGAGTCTATTGAGTCATCAATATCCGCTGTAGTTATTTCTCTTTTTTTCCCCTCCTGGATCGTTTACAGTGAGTAATCATCTGTCTGGTCGCTCGCGTCTCATGGGTTTGATCGGATACCGCTTTTGAACAGCGGCGGAAACCTGTCTGACAATGCAACAAGCAACTCACTGAAGATTGAGAGGGCCCCATTATGATGGCTGCCCGTGGCCATATCAGAAGGCTTTTCTTCTCCCTCCTCTCGCCTCAACATAACACACAACGGTAAATAAATCACAGCTCCGACTCTGCTTATCGATCGGCCCTGTTCCGAGCTCCCCCGCCCCGTCTGCTCATTCTTCTCTACAGGATGAATTGTTGCTTTGTGCATTGAGGAGGGCGAGACTGTCAAAACACAGAGGTGCAGGTTCAAAACAGTAAAGAGACAGAGCGAACAGGAATACATTCTAACTGCATGACCCGTTGTGATGCTACATTGTTAGCCTCGATTAGGCTTCATATTAATCGAAATGATTTCAATTAGTGGCAGCATTTTGCATTTGCTTTCCTGGAGGGGAAGCCTGTGTCCTGCTGGGACTACTCTATTAGTGCCATTGTTTCAGGCAAGATCAATTAGTTACAGAGAGGTAAGTGAACCAATTTGGAATACTTATTTATCCAAGACATGCATATAGCTCAATTAAGCAAAGCCTGAAAATTCTGGGTGATTTGCTGTTAGACAGGACATTCATCCCAAAATAATTGACTTTTAAATTCAAATTAATTGCTTTGTATTTAAGATCAAATCCATTTAAAGATTTAAAGAAATGGAAAATACTGAGACAGAGAATCTATATTTTCACAAAATACCAACCAACATAATTAAAGAGTGCAAGTGAAATAAATGAATCTAATTTTTGGTCCATATTAGACATAAAGAGTGCATTCTATGCCATCTCTTCTCAGTTGTACTCATATCAAGTCAGTTAAGTTATGGATAAACTACAATGCTGATGATATGTATATCAGGTCTTTCATAGCTATACGAGCTCTAGACTAATCAATGTTACCTCAGCAGGTGGAGGCTGTCAGTTAATTGCAGGTCTGGCAGTTCAGTGTTCTTCCACCCCTGAACTCCAGGCTAATGGAACTGCATTGACACTGGCATATGAATATGAGTCGGTGGATGGATAATAGATAAATTGTTTTGTTTAAATGTATGTGGATTTTTCCTATACCAACACATATGAAAATAAGTTTTGCCTTTAAAGCAGAAAACAGCTGCCTGTGCCGCTTTAAAAAAAAGAGGAATGACAGTGGTAAAATGAAGCAATATCCAAAAATTGGAAGTCACAATCCCCAAACAACGCAAACGGTTAGCCTATAAAATTGACACTTTGTTATCTGAGTCAACAGTGTTCTGGGATGATGTCAAATTCCTGGCCTGAACTTTTGTTTCAGTCCAGTCCTGCTGGATAGGGTGTTTTTGTCATTCAACACAGTCTGTGGCACAGCTTGATTTTCGTTGATTTTAAACGAACAAACATCCTAATGAGATAGCCACCAGATGATGGCCGGTCTCTGTGTCTGGCTGCCTGCCACCGCCTGCTGCCCCTGTTGCTTTTCATTCAACATTTTGAAGAATGATGTATGAGTTGTCATAGTTTGTGACCACCAAACTCTCTCTCTACCGGTTTCATCTTGAGAAAGATGGATCTGACTTGTCAACTCATTCACTGCCACTCCTTGTACCGAGACCAAGACCTTACCCAACAGCAGCCAACTTACCCTATACTACCAAAAGTATTCACTCGCCCATCCAAATCACTAAA